GCCAGTAATGTTAGCCATGGGGTCCCACGATGTCCTCCACTGCGGCCAGGATGTGGTCAAAGGCCTTGAGCGAGGAGAAGAGGGTGAGAGCGGTGGCGAGGCTGCGGGTGCCCCGCGGGTGCCGAGGCCATGCAGCCTCCAGCGCCGGCACCTACATGCTCATGCAGCTCCTCGTTCAGCGTGGGCTTGTGGTGGTCGCTGCGCTTCACCTTCAGCCACGTCACCAGGGGTTTGATGGTGAGGCCCTGGAATGGCAGGAGAAGGCAAGGGAAAGACTGGGAGGGTGAGAGGGTGCATGGCTGGGGCACATGGAGCAGAAGTAGCATGAAGTGACTGGGGACAGCAGCCATGCCAGCCGCACGCGTCGCTACCAACCCAACCCCCTGCGCACAGGACCTGGGCGACAGTCCGGTGTCCCAGCAGGCAGCGACCACCTCGAACCCCCCCAGTCCCCCTTCTCTGAGGCTCAGCATCCCTTCCCAGCATGCAGGAACTCCAGGGCCATGGGCCACCAGCAGCTTTGAAGGAGAACAGCCCGGCCAGGCACACACCATTGCTGCTCTTGGAGCGAGTCCCAGAACAAGAGGCCAACGGGGAAACAAAACAGGGCACGGCCCTGCCATTGCGACAGCTGCCGCAGCAGTCCTGCGCACCAGCTTGGTGATGGATGGGGTGCCAGGAGGTGGCCTGAAGAGAGGGACTTGCCCCAGGCACATGTCCTGGTCCCCCGGTGAGCTATGGGCAAGAGGACATGGTGCCCATCCTCACCTGCACAATGACAGTGAAGAACACCACCACGATGGTCGTCGCCACAAAGTAGTCCTTAGCTTTCACCTTCGCCCTGTCCAGCAGAATGACCAGGGCGAAGGCCACGGCTCCGCGGAGGCCGCCGTATGACATGACCACCTGGTCGATCCTGTCCAGGGGGATAAGGCGGAAGCGGTTGAGCACACAGGTCTGGAGGACAACGCCTAGGGAAGAAGGAGAAGGAAAGCCTAGGATGCCGGCGGAGCCTTGCCTGCTCCTGGAGACGGGGCAAAGTCCAGGCCAGGAGCCATGGCCGGTCCCATGCCCCCAGCCTTTCTTGGGGGATACCACTTTTTGGGGATGAAAAGGGCTGGGACAGAAGCACAGTGGGGCAGACTGACCCACAGCTCTGAAGAGCAGGATAAAGAACAGGGTGCCCAGCACCAGCGCAGTGTCCCATGCCCACTTGGAGGTGTCCACAGCCGAGATGCCCAAAAACATGAAGATGATGGTCTCTGAGCTGCTGGCCAGTGTCTTCATGGTGTACTTGACCGTGGTGCGGGATTTCTGGGAGATGTTGGCTTCCACGTACTTCTTGCAGCAGATCCCGCAGAAGGTGACTCTGCAGAGGGGCAGAAGGAGCCGGCATGACCCTACGGTGGGACAAGGAGTGGGTCTGCTCACCGCCTCTTGCTGCTCAGCGCTGCACCCCCAATATCCTGCCCCCCATCCCCGGGAACACGCGGGTACTCACGCCAGGATGGAGGAGAGCGAGACCATCTCTGCAGCAAGGTACGCGACGTAGGCCAGGAGGAAAACGAAGAGTGGCTCAATGATGCGCACGCGCTTGGTGAACCGCGTGATCAGGGCCAGGAGAAAGGCGAAGAGCAGCCCCACGGCCGTGCCCCCCAGGCTCACCAGGAAGAAGGAGGCTGGTGTGGGGCGAGGAGAAGACTCATTTGCACCATAAGCAGGCAACCCCCAGCTCCTGTGCCCCACGGCCATGCCACGCCGGGCTGGCCAAGCCCCACATTCCCACCTGGTTCCCCACCAAAAGCATCCCATGATGATGGCCAACATCTGGCCACTGGGATGGAGATGAGAGAGCCGTGGTGCTCAGTGCCCACTCCACAGTACAACAGCACCCATGCTTGCCCCCCACACTTCCACCCCGGAGCAAGAGTTGGAGGGGCTGGTGGGGCACATACTCACCTACCCCCTTCACGTAGTCCGTGGCATGGATGTGCGCCGGGCCCAGCTCCACAAAAGAGTTGAAGACCTTGTAGAGCACCTGTAGGCAAGGCAAATCCCTTGGGGAAGGCAGGGTATTGCCCTGCCTTGAAAGAGGCAGCACCCGTGGGCAGGATGGACCCTACGGAAGTGGCATCGCCTGCCCCAAACCTGCCAGGCAACACAGATCACCTCGGCAGGCAAAGTCCCCCAGGGCCAGGAGAGAGGAGAGACCCAAAGAGCATGGCACGGGTCTGCCCCCAGCTTGGGGATGTCACCTGCATCCTCTGCCCGTCCCCAGAGGACTCCAGCACCCTGGCCCCTGTCGGGCTCTTCGTCAGGGTCCCCCAAGCTCCAACTCACCACGGTGACAGCATCGTTCAGGAGAGACTCGCCAAACACGATGATGAAGAGGGTCTCATTTACATGGACCTCTTCGAAGACGGCCAGCACTGCCACGGGGTCCACGGCTGAGATGAGGCTGCCGAAGAGCAGGAAATCCATCAGCCCAGCTTCAACACCTGGATCTGCTGGGACAGAAGGACAGGGCTCACGCAGACCGTCTGCCCCGGAGCCCCCCTCACCAGGCTGAAACAAGCCTGTCCCTCATCCTCTCCCGGTGACTTGGCCGCAGCATCCCAACTTGGAGTGCAGTGGCCCGAGCCCGGGCGTGCTCCCAGACCTTGCGGTGCCCCAGGTGAAGCGGGGCTCAGCACACCCTTGCTGTCACATGAGAGAAGCAGGGCTCAGATTTCCCCCCTGGCACCCAGCCCCTCTGGCAGCCAGGCACCGGAGGAGGCTCAGCAGCCCCACCTCAGGTCCGGGCGTCGAGCCGTTCCTCGGGGCTCAGGAGAGCTCAGAACACAGCCCAGGGCCAGAGGACAGCGAACACGGCGGCGAGCCAGCAAAGCTAGCCAAGGTCGGGGACAAAAATAGCAAAGACATGAGTCAGCCCAGTGCCGAGCAGGGCCCGTTTGTCCTGCACGCTTGACGGTCCTGCCAGAGCACCGTTCCCAGGACGCCAGGACCCCACTCCTGCAATAATTCCTGGGAATGCACGGCAGAGCCGGGCAGTGGGCTCTGAACGTTCGGGTGCTTTGCACCCTCCGACCTGCTTTTGGGGGATGTGGTCCAAGCTGGGCAGCCCTGCGCACCCACCCATCAGCCCGGCCCGGTGCAGCCCCCAGAGCGCAGTGCCCGTGGCGAAGGAGTTCCAGAGCGTGCCCACCACCGCGTAGGTCAGGATGGCACCGATGTTGTCGAAGAACAGCCGGCTGGGCATGAAGTAGCCCGAGTCTAGGACGATGGGCGGCAGGAGGAAGAGGAAGAACATGTTGGGCTCCAGCTGGTACTCAGCTTTCTTCGCCACGGCCAACACGATGCCCCCCAGGCCCAGCCCCAGGAGGATGAGGAGGCAGCTCTCCGGGACGATGGACGTCACCTTCCTTGACAGGTGGAAAACTGGAAGGAAAGGAAGAACGTGAGCGTCAGCCATGTGGACACGCGGACAGAGCATCCCAGATTCACAAGCCCCACGGAAGGGTTGGCCGGTACATGATGGACCCCGGGGTGGACAAGGGGTGGCCATGTGCATGCAGAAGACCTTCCCGCTAGCTCCCAGGTCATGATTTCAGGTCCCCGGCTCTTTGGGATCTCTCTCTCCTCCTCAGCCACCATCTAATAAGCCAAGCAGCTGGGCATTTTGCTTTTCTTGGCCTCTGGTATCTGCACGTAAAGGATAAAAGCAGCCCGTGAGCACGTTCACAGTGTCACAAGCAACGCTGGCTGCGGCTCGAGCAAAAGCATCCCGGTTCACCGGGACACGCTACCCAACTCAGAGACGAGGATGCTCAGCCCCAGCGCCGGGCTGACCTTGTTTGCAGCCGTCTGAGCAAGCAGATGGAGCAGCACGCAGACCGCTGCAGCACAGGCAAGTGGGCTGGTCTCCGTGCCAGAACATGACCTTCTCCAGCACCGGCGAACCCACCTGCATGCAAAACACAGGCGCCCAGGAGCTACAGATTTAGAGAAGCTTTAATCAATCAGCTTCTTCCACCACCAAGGTCTGGACCAAATCTTAAACCGCCCGTGGAACAGGATACATTTTTTAAAGCAAGCAGAGCATGCCCTGGTGTCCATCCACCAGCAACGTGGCAGCGAGCCTGCAGCTCTGCCGTGAGAACCCACCTGCATGCAAAACACAGGCGCCCAGGAGCTACAGATTTAGAGAAGCTTTAATCAATCAGCTTCTTCCACCACCAAGGTCTGGACCAAATCTTAAACCGCCCGTGGAACAGGATACATTTTTTAAAGCAAGCAGAGCATGCCCTGGTGTCCATCCACCAGCAACGTGGCAGCGAGCCTGCAGCTCTGCCGTGAGC